TACGGAACCCTAAAAACAGTAAAAGCCATACATGAGAAAAATCTTCATTATACAGGGTGGAATCTTGTAATGCCACCTGGAGGGAAAGTACTCTTAATACTGTAGATAGATTTTCTATACTGTAGATAGAAAATTTTACTGAAAGAAAACATTCCTTTATTTTTGAAAAGAAAGAGAACTGCATTCAAAGATTTTTGAAAATTTTTAGAAAATTCCCTACTATACCATACAATTTTCTGTACATAATGAAAATAACTCAAGATTTCATGGTTTTCCTTTCATTTGATTTATCAAGTTTGTTAGAGAGATTTCATCCTTATACTTAACCCTAACGATCAATGCAATAAAAATACAGGGTGTAATTTTTAACAAATTATAGTGGTTCGATTCCCGGGTGTGGCAAACAATTTTTTTGAAATATTTGAATGCAGTTATATTTCTTTTCAAAAATAAAGGAATGTTTCCTTTGAGTAAAATTTTCTATCTACAGTATTAAGAGTACTTTCCCTCCAGGTGGCATTACAAAATTCCACCCTGTGTATTAAAGTAAGAACAAAAAAAAACATCCGCATTTATTTTTATAAGTTTGTTATATCCTAAGTATTTCCAGTGTTCTTTTGGAAGACTTTGCAAAAACAACAGTTTATTTAAACGTTTGCCTTTCAGCCTATTTCTTTGTTGATTGACACAAACAAACTCGCCAACCGACACGCGTGACGCGACATGGACATAACAGTTTTTTTTTATTGTCACTAGAGACACTACTCACTGCACTCGTACGCAGTGTTGCCAAAATTTTTAAAATACAAGTTGGGTTGTCCGTATAAGTAAAATTTTAGTGGTCAGACTTGAGTTTTATGAAATTTTAATTGGTTATCATCGATTCGATGTTTTAACACTGAAAACTTAAAAACATCGATACATCGAGTATTTCAATAGCTTTTCAAAACATCGGATCCATTCGATGTATCGCATTGTAAACATCGATGTTTTCAATACATCGATGTATATCGAATATCCCTAGCAATAAACGTCCTCACGTAAAAGACAATTGACGGCGTTGGCGAGTTAGATAAATGACGATCGCCGTATGAGTATTCCTCTCGGTTTCTTCTAAAAACAAGTGAGTATCGTTCACCCGGCTGCGTGCCCGCTGGGCCGGAGCACGTGGACAGACTCGCGAGGAGGCACGGCTTCGTCAACCATGGGCAGGTGAGATGACGATGTTGTTTTGCAATAAACGTCCTCACGTAAAAGACAATTGACGGCGTTGGCGAGTTAGATAAATGACGATCGCCGTATGAGTATTCCTCTCGGTTTCTTCTAAAAACAAGTGAGTATCGTTCACCCGGCTGCGTGCCCGCTGGGCCGGAGCACGTGGACAGACTCGCGAGGAGGCACGGCTTCGTCAACCATGGGCAGGTGAGATGACGATGTTGTTTTGCAATAAACGTCCTCACGTAAAAGACAATTGACGGCGTTGGCGAGTTAGATAAATGACGATCGCCGTATGAGTATTCCTCTCGGTTTCTTCTAAAAACAAGTGAGTATCGTTCACCCGGCCGCGTCGCGACCGATGCGCGCGCGCTCGTGACGCACCCCGTTGTCATGGTGACGGCATGGCGCGCGCTGGCGCTGCTGGCCGCGCTGCCGCTGTGCGCCGCGCTGCCGGAGGCGGTGTACCACAACCAGTTCGCGGTGCACGTGCCAGCTGGACCAGAGCACGTGGACAGCCTCGCGAGGAGGCACGGCTTCGTCAACCATGGGCAGGTAAGACGCTGATCTTGTATTGTTTTAGAATCAACGTATGTATGTTGGCGAGTTAGATAAATGACGATCGCCATATGAGTATTCCTCTCGGTTTCTTCTAAAAACAAGTGAGTATCGTTCACCCGGCTGCGTGACCGCTGGGCCGGAGCATGTGGACAGCCTCGCGAGGAGGCACGGCTTCGTCAACCATGGACAGGTGAGATGACGATCTTGTTTTGTTTTGCAATCAATGTACTAAACGTAAAAGACAATTGACGGCGTTGGCGAGTTAGATAAAAGACGATCGCCGTATGAGTATTCCTCTCGGTTTCTACTTAAAACAAGTAAGTAGGTAACTTCCACCCGGTTTACTGTTTGAAAATTACGTTCTTCATGTCGTTATCATGATCTAAGAGTAGATAGAGCACGGCCTAAGACCCGAAAAAAAGCGCTACAAAAATCGTGTCTTCAAAAGTCACTCGGTGATAAACGTCCAGTAATATATTTTTTCTTTCTTTAATGGATAGGTAAGCACGATCAGTTGTGTTAATCTTGAGTCGAATCACTAGCCGATGAGTTCTTATGTTTTATTCCGGCTCGGTGTCTAGAATTTAACAATCGCTTCGTTAAAAAGACAAATGACAGTCGTTTAGAGCGCTTATCATTAGCAGACTCCCTCGGGCGTTGGTGTGTTTGAACAAAAAGACGATCGGTAAGCCATTTGGCGCAAACTCCTCGATCATTTCAAAAAACAAGCGACGGTCGACGCGCCATTCAAAATGTTTGATTAAACCGCTGCACGCTGACAACTTAGAAAGCAAAGGCTCTCTATATGCATGCACGTGCGTAAGGTAACTTTTTTTATCTTGTTTTGTGTGTACAAACACCTCGCCCCAATATTTTACCAGAGCACCACGCTGAACGATTTTAGGAAAAATAGTGTAGCGTGTTAGTTATTTCTATCCTAGGTCACAGCTTTAACATAGCACTGCACAACTTTGGGGTGAAATTGCAGTTCACAACACCAATAAATTAGTGAACACGGAATAAATAAGACGACCACTACCAAACTTCTTAATTAAGCAATTTCACCCTCGGAATCTTCTAAAAGCAAGTTACGATCGTATTACCTTGTCTTTAGTTGAGGGCATTTCATGAGCACGTCACGCGATTAAGCCCCACGGCAAGCTCATCGACACTAACCCAATTTGGTTTGGAGAGTCTTCAAACTGATGGTTTGATCAGACACGCGAGAATTGGCCGCCGCCTTCGTTTCTTTTAAAAACAAATGACGAATGTTTTATGGCCAGTATTTAATTTTGTTTTGATTATGAGGTGATATAAATATTTTTTCATAAAGGCAACCAATTTTTTTTTCAATATCGATAACTCCTTGTTATAACCTAACCGCAATATCACAGATTACTAATCAGTTACTTAAAAATGCTTCAGTTAAGATTGGGTTTACCACAATAGTCCAGCGGCGACGGGGCTCGAAATACCGTTCTTCGGAACCTGAGTCAGCCAATTCGACACCGATATCTTGCTATTGTCGCCACAATGAAAACAATCGCTTCAACAAAATGAAAGCTTGCCTTTCTAGATTAAGAACTTAATTAGTAGTCGAAGCCATGTAATTTAATGCAGAACGATTCAAATAGTGTTGGACCAGTAGATCAGTGGGGCGTGAAAAGAGAGATAAAGACAAACAAAAGCCTGATACGACATGAGATAGTTGTCCACTGGGAGGAGGAAAGTTGGCAACGGAGGCAGCACCACCACAGCTTAAAATAAGCAGCCATCGCATTAGAGTGGACTTACTGTTGCGAGAAATGCTTAAATAAATATCTAAACAACATGTAGGCACAAAGTTATGGGCTTTAGCAAGATAGCGGGCCTATTCCCACCTCTCTTTCCCACCGCTGCACCTCCCTTTGTAGCCAGGTTCTAAAGCTTGACCGCCAATAAAAACCCAACCAGTGAAGGTCAAGTTTGTCCCGGGGGAAAGTTAAACTGTCATTAGACCCGCAACGATATTAATCAGAAGAACATAGGAGGAGTTCGAAGTTAAGATTCGACTTAAGCAAGATGAGAGATCGAATGTACCTACTACTACTATTTCTATTTATTTATATTAACCGGCAGACAGTGGTGACTGAGTTTGTTGCGGCGCTTCTTCTCAGCACTTGCCAAATGTTGGTCTTGAAGCGCTGGTAGGGTAAAAAGATTATGAGACATGTAGAGGCTCCTTAAGAGCATATGACGATTTGTAAGAACTATTTATTAGTCTAAACAAATAAAGAAATTTTGACTTTGACTTTGACTTTGAGAATGAGAAAAAGTATTCAGATACAATGTCTTCGTTTCAGCCAAATGACGTCCACTGCTGGACAAAGGCCTCCCCCAAGGATTTCCACAATGACCGGTCCTGCGCTGCCCGCATCCAGGCACCTCCCGTGACCTTCACCAGATAATGTCATATTCTTTAAGTAATTTTGACAAATACACAATATTTTCCCAGCTTCATAATAAAGGTTAGTTAATATTCAAAATCAAAATCAAAAATATTTATTCAGTTTAGACCACAAGTGGCACTTATGAACGTCAATAGAAAATAATAAAAAAAGAAAAAGGTAGCCCTTATGGGGCACTTTACATGTCTCCTTATCTTTTGGGCCCTACCAGCGCTTCGAGACAAACATATGGCAAGTGCTGAGAAGAAACGCCGGAACAAACTCAGTCACCACTTATTGCCAGGAATTATCTAACGGTAAGAATAGTCAAATTTAAGTACATCAAATATGTGCAGACTGAACTGACCACGCATCCTTGTCATCAATATAGTCTCGAACCTTGTAGTACCCTTTGGACATAAGGGTATTTTTTATATGTATCTTAAATTTGTTTATTGGCAATTCGACAAGGTTGTGTGGTATTTTGTTAAATATGGTAATACATTCATTCATTCATGCCAACTCAGAAAATCGTAATTACAGTTTCCAGGAATCATAAGTAATAAGGAGAAACAATTATCAGCACTGCGCAAAAGCCAACAAAATCTCCCGGCAAAATTACTCACTATCATTTGTTTTATATTTTCCGAACCGTCCCCCCGCTGTGTCGAGGCGTTTCTTTTTGCCCCCTGCGACTAGCTAAGTAGTTCGCGTGACTGTCTGTCCGGCGGCCGTCCAATTAAGTTCTCCCAGTGATTAATGGCCCTAATATCCAACTCTGTACAAAGGTTTACTCCGCGAACTGTCCAGCTTTTTGTTAGATATCCACTACAGAGGTAATATATTTCGCTGGGCGAGGAACACCTAAGAAGGGAGGGTGGCGATAGTTGGCTCTTGGTTGAAATTAGTTTACGGTTAGGGACAGGTGTGCGTAATGAAATGTGCCTTTATTCATATCCTGAGACAGTTCAATTTAGAATACACATACCTTTATTAATTTGAGATTGATGGGAACCATCCACTTATCTATTTTGTAATGTACCTAACTAACGTATCAGTTCGTGGTGTATAGTCTCTCTAAAATTATAATTTACGAATGCTAGTAACATAATTCGTACAGTTAGGTATCGTTTATCATCTGAACTAACAATAAAAAGTATCTATATGTAAATGTATAATTTTATCTCTTTTATAGGCAACATAAATAATCCGAACAGATGCCGAGAAGGTTTTGCTTAGAATAAATTGTGTATTTGCTCGAGCGAGCCCTAAAAAGTAGTCGCACGAGCGCCGTATTTAAACAAGACAACTTATTTACTCATGCGAGCATTTGCTCTAGTTTTGTTAACCGATAAGATTAAGGACCTCCTACGGTATCAAATGAAGGTAATAGGGTTATTTATTATTTATTTATTATTTATTTATGAGTTTATTATTTCAGAATCCAGAGCTAATGTTTGTCTCACAAATTGCAGACGTGTTCATTCCTTGTCTCAATAATGTGAGTAAGGAAACCTTTTCGTTTTCGTTAAAAATAGAATAATATATTTCAGAATTTTATAATGAAATGCTACGTTGACCTTTATATTTATAAATGGGTTTTTAGATGGACTCATTATTTAGACAGCTAAGGTAGTTACAAAAATGTTTATGGTTGACAAATGATGTAATAAAAATAGGTTTACCATAGAAATACATTTAATTATTATCTAGTTTTAGGTATGTTACTGAAAGCATCTAACAATGAGTGAAAACAAATAAAAATAATGTAATGTCTTTACCATAAAAACTTTGCCATACATCTTAATTATTAGTTTGTATTGAGTTCGGTTGTTTATTTTGGTTTGTCTGCCAAGTTTGTGACAGTAAAGTGACAGGTTGTAGATCTAGACAGCCCCCGGCTTGAATTCCCGCTGCGTGAGACTTCACGGCAGACATTTAAATGTGACACATGCTACTAATGTCTTTAATTTGTTTTGACTTGGTGTTTGTTTTTATCTTTTAAAACTTTGAATGCTCTAACAACTTATAAGTCTCTAGGAACTGGTCAACAGAAGGCGTTAGAGCTCGTCAGTGCATCGTTCATTTTCAGTATACCTACCTACCTACTATATTTTGTTTAAAAGCTCTAATAGATTCATTATTATGTTAATAGTTTACAATTCCAATAATTCGATCGACACTTAAGCTTCAAAGGCCAATGACAGGTTGCGCGACCTATGACAGTTCACGCGACCTGTCATTGGCCTTTGATCGCGCCGTGATCATGCCAGCGATGGCGATCTGCACGCGTTGGTGTGGTTGAATCATTAATTGATAACTTCCTTTTAAAGTTCAGGCTATAAAGACTCAATTTTCCCAATCATATTTACGTACAATCGAGGCCCATTTCGCGTCGTGAGGCGGGCTAGCAGTCGGTATTATGCGACAGGGAATGTCCCGAAGTGAGTCACGGCTCGCTTCCCGACGATTCCCAGCTGGGAGCAGCTCCGGAATCCTGCTGCGAGCTTGCTGTTTGCGAACCAACTCAGTATGGAGATGGGGAACAGATATATTTTTAATGTATTA